ATGGCACCAAATCAGAGATTCTCATAGAGCTGTTTTATGTTGTCCTCACACAGTTACTTAAAATTTAGCAACAGCTGCCAGACGCTGTAAATGTTGGTCGATACGAGTAAGAAGCCAAATTTATAGTCATGTTTTTTGTAGAGGTGAGAATCAGCAAAGTGATAATAAAGACAAGCAAACCTTTCATTAATGTTACTTTTTAGCCCATTCACAAGTTTTAATATACTGGCAAATGCGATGGCACTGTATGGGCAGATGACATAATGATGGTTTCATGCAGATATATGATTTTCCAATTTGGGCAAACCAGATTCATTTAGTTTATTAACAGACTTCAAACTGATTCATCCCTTCTCTTTTTTTAAAGGACAGGACATTGGAGTTCGTCCCAGATATAAATGTTAAATATTATGGGGTTGAGTTTTGTGCAAAAATGTCTTCTGATCACGAAGGAAAAAGAGGGCAATGCAAGAATCTGTTAAAAGGCCTTTATTCCCTTTGCCTGAGACTGTGGGGCCATATCATGGGAATCACTTACAGTGATGAACAGCCAAATACAAAGGAGGCTTTTAACTGATTTCAGCTGTCTTTGATCTGCCTTTTTCCCACATTATTGCCTAAAGGCGAACTTGTTAATAAAAAGAAGTTACAGTATTTGTTGTCATACTGAAGCATTTACATTTTCCATACAGAGAGAAATCTAATTAAAGGGGACAAGTCTCTGGAACAACACCAAGAGGTGGAGCGCCGTTCTTCTAAAACAAATTCCCTCATTTAGTGTTTTGATAATGGTTGGAGATAGCACTGATACGGGCAAAATAAGGATCGAATATGTCACCAATTTTCTAAGTAAATCTATTTCTAAAGGTGCTATTGACATGAAATTCTCAGCAGATGCCTATAAGAACCCTTCCCATTCACACATGCAAAAAAATTATCAAACTATAGATCTCCATAAGTTATGTGCAATAATGAGAAATCAAACAGGGAACAAGTATTAAACACATGAAGAAGGGAGGTGCAAAAAAGCATTAAAGGTCACGAGCTGAAATCTATCAGCAGATATAAAGTATTCCTGCCACTTACTGCAAATTAATATCAGCTGCTTGGCCTATAAAAGGGTGTATCATTACCAAGGTGGTACACATTAAACATCTCGTGAAGGGTAAAACCAGTTACAGAAGAATTTTACACTACTGAAGGTTCTGGTGAGCACTGTTGGTGATAAAGAAGCATGTTGAAGACATGTTAACCCTAACCCATTTAAAGATAACTGAACAACATACAGATAAGCCTGTGAAATGCTGTGAGAATATAGTGTGGTCAGATGAGACCAAGATTCAAGTCTTTGAATGCCATAATACACGGCATGTTTGGAGGTCAAAGGCACTGCATATCACCCCAAAAACACCAAACCAACAGTGAGGTTTTGACTTGGGAGCATGATGGTGTGTGGCTGTTTTTCAGCATACGGCACTGGCGTGCTTCATATAACTGAAGAAAGGATGAATGGAAAAAAGTACCGAGGCATTCTTGATAAAAAATCTGCTGCCATCTACCAGGATGATGAAGATGAAACTCGGGTGGACGTTTCAGCAAGACAATGATCTCAACCACACAGCCAGGGCAACTCTCCACCAACTGCGCTTAGAACTAAAGAAGTTTCTCGGATGAGAGGTGAAACGTCTACAGAAAACTTAAAGAAGTCCAGACAACAACATTCCTTTTCCTGTTGCACTGGGTCAGTAAAAACAATGGGTTGTGTAATAATTAACCAGTAAGAATAAAAGAAAATCTACACTCTGCTGCACAAAATTCTGGATATATTATGTGTGTGCACACTGTTGTACTAATCAGGAATCACTAGAAAAAGGCTTAGGGATAAGTGCTGTATCACAAGTCAGAAATCAATGAGGAGAGAACATAATTTTTGAAGCAACAATTGCACACAAGACTACATGAACACATTTATATACCTCAGAGACAGAATAGGTTGTTTCCTCAAGCAACATGTGAATGTTTGCCAAATAAAAGCCCAACAAAGACTCCTTTTGGGTTGGGATAAAAAATACTAGCACATGACTTTACCCAAGGAGACTGTGGTTTGTATCCTGTGCATGGCCGTCTTTTGATTGAAAGATTCCAGCTATTTTTTGTTGTCGTTGATTATGCTCTTCTCCAGTCTCTTTTTGGTTGACCAAAACATCTTGGGTTGGTTTGGGAAAAGATCATAGTTTGTATTAAAATAGACCCCTTCACAATGTTTACCACATGTTTGAAAACCTTTCTGGAGGTTGGATGAAGTCGGCCCTATCTATCTATCTATCTATCTATCTATCTATCTATCTATCTATCTATCTATCTATCTATCTATCTATCTATCTATCTATCTATCTATCTATCTA